TGTGGGAAAGATGGATAGACATGGAAGCTGTGTGTGTTCTTTCAGGCTAAAAGTGGTTATGTTAGCAAATGTTAGCAGCTGAACTAATAAAAATATTTTTGGCTAATAAGACTTAGGATCACCTTGTGACCCTGAATTACCTCTAAATTCTGATTGTTATAGATCAAATTGACGGTGTGGCAAGAACTTTAGAGGGCAACTAATTTATTTGTCCAGCAGATTGACACACATAGCACATCACCACCATATCTTCAGATGCCAAGATAGACCTGTTTTTGTTTTCTTTGCCCCTTAATATCTACCAGTTCATAGTCTTCTGCCTTCCTACTACATTGGGAATTTGCAAATCATGTTATTTACTTGTTCAGATTCTCTTTGTTGTTCTTGATATTTCATAGTTGCCAATTTAAAGCCCTCAGTGGTAGAAAGATTGAATATGAATGTCTAAACAGTGTTCTTAGTGGCTATGTAAAATGGAAATCTTTCTACAGATGAGAAACATTTTGGTTTTACATCAATGGTTAACTAGGAAATGCTGAGCTTCACCTCCCCTGATTTTAAATAATATTTAAATCAGAAATACTAAATATTTATATTTGTATTTGACTTTTCTGGTAAAGCAGAGAGGGAGGGAAACAAGTGACGTTTTCATAGCATTTGGAAACTAACTTGCCAATAATAAATCAACACTGGTCTGAGAACTACTTAAGTGGTTACTTGATGAGGAAAATGTGGGAGCAAAAAAGATTTAAGAAGCAAACATAAAATAAACTTCCTGAATTAACAGCATAAACAAGTTATATTCTTTTATTAAACAAGCCACTATTAGCAGGACTGGATAAACAAGCCACTGCAAGCACAACTGTGCCTACTCCGCATGTTTAATCTTGTGATTAAAAGCAAAATGTGTGATTTGTATACAAATTGTGTAAACTTTTTTGAATTCTTTTATTCTAACTTTGTGTGATATTTTGTCTTTGCTAATACCATAGTATGTAACATTGACTCTACCCAAAATCTAATATGATGTTGTGAGCAGCTGGAATATATGCAGACATTGTCTGTACATATATGTTAAAATATATACAAGCATTGTCTGTATATATTAAAATATATTTTCAAAACTTTAAGTGTTAGAAATTTTCTGCTAAAAGTAACATTGACATGAGCTTAATTAGTTGTATTATTTATTAGGTAAAAAGTCTCCAGAAGTTGTATGAGAGGAGACATGAGAAAGATGGAAGACATTAAGCAGATGTGTTTGTGACACTTTTTTTCCTTTTGATATCACAGATGGAACCAAACTACAGAAAACCGTTTTAGTTTATTACTTATTTTGTTTGTTACTAAAGTCATTGTCCAGATTACTAGCAGAAAATATTTTTAAAAACTTTTTAAATAGATTAGGAAACAATATGTCTGCCAGATCATTTTCCCATCTTGTTTGTTTGTTAAAGGGCAATAGAGAATTTCTGTGTGTACAGTTTGTGAAGAAAGGTTGTGAGATGAGAATTAATGCTTTGGCCTTTCTACTAATCTCTTGATAAACTTGGATGCAACATTCACACTTTTTAGAGCAGGAACTCTAGGAGCTTCTTCCTTGCCATAATGAGCTATACAGGGAAGATAAGGGAACTAGGCACCAGTGAAGGAAATAGCTATATTATGTCTTATGTCTTATGTCTTATATATATATAAAATATCGCCGGGTATTTTTTAAAAATCAACTAAAAACATGGATGTTTTGGCAGGCCTTCCCTCCAGCCAATTCCTGATCTCCCCTTTCTTTCCTCTCCCCTATTGTCTGCCCCATCTTGCTGAAAGTCTCTCGTTGTCATAATTTATCTTTAAAGATGATGAGTTTCTCATACTAAAAAGGAAGCCACAGTACTTTTACACATGTGGTTTAAGATGACAGAGAGGATGTACTACCTATTGGAAAAGTTGAGAGCATGATTTCATCCTAGCCTCATAAAGTTCTGTAAAAGTTAGTTTCTCATATTTTAGTCAGGTGGCTGTAGTACTTAACAACTAAATGAAAATGGGCTCTTTCATTGTACCTTATTCCCATGTGCACTGGTAAATATTAGATCTAAATTTTTACCAATAGAGATCAGCTAAAATCTGTAGTAACAAGGATGTGGGTAGTGCTGCAAGTTAAATGCCTGAGCCACTGAGCTGTCAATTGAAAGATCGGCAGTTCAAATCTGCGCAATGGGGTGAGCTCCCGTTGCTTGTCCCAGCTCCTGCCAGGCTAGCAGTTCAGAAGCATGCAAATTCGAGTGACTAAATAGGCACCATCTCAGTGGGAAGGTAATGGCATTCTATGTCTAGTCATGCCAGCCACGTGACTACAGAAAGTGTCTACAGACAGATGCCAGCTCTCCGGCTTACAAATGGGGATGAGCACCAGACCCTAGAGTCAAAGGGAACCTTTATCTTTACTTTAAATTTTGTAGCATATCTTCCGTGCCTTTTGGACCATATATTTCCTCTTTCCATTTGAATTTTGCACTGGAAACCAATAGAATAATTTTATGACTTGGGACACCCATGAAGTTCACTGGGTGACATGGTGCAGTCATTCTTTCTCAGCTTTCCTACATCACAGGATTATTATTCTGAGGATAAAGTGGGGAGAGGACCTTGAGCTGGTTGGAGGAAAGGCAGAAAATAAATGGAAAAGTACATAATTCTGTTCAAATTATATTGGCTACCAGTTGCTGCCTGGGCCCAATTCAAAGTGCTTGTTTTGACTTATAAAGCCCTAAATGGCTTGAGCCCTGGATACCTGAAGGACCGTCTCCTTCCATATAAACCTACCGGGCAATTAAGATCTAGCCAGAGGGCTCTCCCGAAAGAGCCATTCCTCAAGGAAGTAAGAGCGATGGCTTATAGACAAAGAGCCTTTTGGGCAGCTGCCCCCAGACTATGGAACACCATCCCGAGTGAGATTCCTCTGGCGCTGACGTTGATGATGTTTCGGCTCAAGATCAAAACCTTCCAGTTCCAGAAGATTATTAATTGAAATAAGATCAACTGTGGGTCCTGATGTCATTTTTAGAGTACTGTACTGTGTTTTAATTGTATTTTAATTGTTTTATCTTTTTATTGTATTTGAATTGTTGTAAGCTGCCCAGAGACCTTTGGGCCGTGTGGGCAGTGTATAAGTTAAAACAATTAATCAATCAATCAACCAACCAATCAACAAAAGACAGGGAAAGAGACATGAATAGGCTGGATCCAGAGCAAAACTAATTGTGACTGAAATAGACCAGTTGAAACCAGTGGAAGTTTTAGTATTCAACTTTTTATAGCTTTGATCTAGTGCAGCTTTCTGTTGCCTGTCGGAGAAGACAGTTCTATGAGCTGCTCATTTGCCCCAGTTAGTGATGCAGATTTGCAGATAGTACCTGTACTGGATGGGAGAGTTGAAGTATAAGATACTATTTTGTGAATGTTGTGTAGCCAGCTTAGTGGGAGCCATGCACAAAGACAGAAATCATCCACACCATCCTGAACATATAAACCAGTTCTTCCAAGAGTAGCTTGTCTTACCAAGGTGATGCCATGCTGACCTGGTCAGAAACGCCATTTGTGCCAGCATGTAACAGCTCCCCACCCACCTCAGTCCTGGGGGTGGTTACCTATTGTCTTCCATTCTTACTTGCCAGGTTCAATAAAGGGAAACTAGACTATAAAGACTAATTTGAATGCCCAGCATGCTCAGCTGGCCAGAGAGGGCTCCTTTCATCATATTGTATCCTGCTAAATCTCTTGAAACATCAATGACTGAGGAAAGTCATCAGGACTCAAAGAGCACGTAGTCATGGGCTTCTTGCAGACTTCAAACCTCCTAGTAGCATGGGACTTGTGGATTGAGAAAAGCTACAAAAATCATTGCATTTATTTTTGCATGATCAACATAGTTGTTTAGGAAGAAATGAAGAGGTTTTGAAAGGCTGACAGCTAAATAAACAGCTATTGCAGAAGTCATAATTTAGAATGATCACTTCTAGTTTTGAGGCAGAAACCCCTTTTGACACACTTCAACTTTTGGTTTTGGAATGCTCTCTCAAAAGAGGTAACACCTGACACCACCACTGTATTCCTTTCATTCCATGTTAAAACCTGCATTTTTAAAAAGTTTAGAATCCTTTGTTCCATAGATGAGTCTCTCTCTTATAGACCGGGGGAGACAGTTGTCTGAAAAGGCAGCTAAAATTACAGCATTTTAAATTAAAATATTTTGAGCTGATAGAATAATTATTCCTCCTCACTTTATTGTGTTGATTAGTATTTGATGTTTTTACATCATATTGTAGATTTCAAATGTTAATGTGTACCTTTGTTAGATTCATTTTTGGATAAAACAGTGCTTTAGAAATTCTTTTTTTTTAACAGTGATGTTTATTTTCAATTTTACTGTATGATCATTATCATATAAAAAAAGGAATGCAGTCTTTTGGTGATTGAAATTTGGTTTTCAACTTTAATATGACATTGAAATTCTAGGACTTCATGTTCATCCATTGTTCATCCATTTTTTTCTTTAAAAATCAAATTTACAATGACTACTGTACTGTAATTCAAAGTCCAGTTCTGCAGTTGTCTCCATAAGTCACCAGTTATCCTTGATTAGATTGGTCTGCATAGTTTTGTATATGTATTTTTATCATCCTTTCCATAGGCCTTAGGGCTGTTACATACGTACATAAATTTGTGTTAATTTGAATGTGACAGCAACTTCAGCTCCTAAGTTGTTAATACATGGGTGTGTAAAGGAGTGAAAGCAGGCAGAAAGAGGAGGAAGCTTATCCTTTGCACACATAAATGGATGTGTTTAGGTTTAGAAATGCATTGATTTTAACTTGGCCTTTTTGTGATTTAAATTTCTTGTTCATAAATGTTTTCCATATTTTTCAGTACCAGTAGAGTCCATTATTTAAGGCTTGAAAAAAGATCATTCAAGTATTTTGCCTATATATTCTGTTTTCCAGGCTCCTCAGTGACTCTGATTAGCCTAGAGCTCTTTGCCATCAAGCCTTCTAACCTAACACTATGCAGCCTGATCTTGGCCCTTTACAAGAACTGCTTTTGCTTATGATTTTCTTCTCAACTTCAGCTTCAGGTAAGCTCATCTTATGAAATGCCACATATGCCTAATGTTCCCTTATAGATTCTTACCTTTCTGATACATTTTGCAAGTCAGCTAAAATTAGTCAAATTTTTCTGTATTTAAAACAGTTTTTTTTTAAAAAGTGTAAAATTTAAGATCAAGTTAAGGAGAATATCATAGTAAATAACTATTAAATAGTTTAGCTGCAGTTTATTCAAAATGGCCTGATTTAGCATAGTAAATTTGGTTGTGAGAAAAGTGTACATAAATGACTTCCTTAAAGTCCCAGCTGTAGAATTTGGTTTCTTTTCCAATGTGGAATGTTAAAAATGTTGTAAGATATACAAAAGTATGTATTGGCCAGAATTCTATTAGTGTTTGCATAATGTTTGTTTAACTTGTTGCAATTCATTGATGAGGTACTGAAACACATATCAGTTGCATAGTTGGTCACATGAACATGCACTTAACAAAAATGTGCCCCAACACTACACCAGTTCAATGCATTTAGACATGACAGGTTACATAGAACAGCAGTGGACACCAATAGGATTCTGGCCACTGTACGGAAATATAGATGTTTATATTCTAAGAGAAAAATTGAAAACATGTTATTTTCACATCATTTTCAGAATGATGTGCCATAGGAGTCTAATTGTATATAAATATTGTTTTCTTTTTTAGACTTGATTCCTCACTTCATTTCTGAGCCCCTTTCTACTATCCAGAAGCCAGGTGCAACTGTAGAACTTCACTGTTCTGCTGAACCCTCTACAGCTCATGTTTCTTGGCTATTCAATGGACAGAAACTGCATAAGAATATTGAACAAGTAGTCACACTGCCAGGATCCCTGACAATCTTCTCTCTTAGTCCATCAAATTCTGGTGTCTATCAGTGCATTGCCAACAACAGCATTGGTGCCATTATCAGCAGACCTGCAACAGTGTCTATAGCCTGTAAGTTATGTTCAGCTTAAGGGCAAAATGTAACTTGTTACTGTCATGATATTTCCATTTCTTCTGCTCATTCTCTGTTTACAGCGTATGTGCATTTAATGTTTGAGATAATATTCTGTGTATTTAAATAACTGCAGGCAAGAGTTGACCCCTCTTAGTTAAGCTGTGGTTTTGAATGATATAAAATCTTTATTCTATGTCTTTTCTGAAAATATTTACTTAATCTTGAAAGAAGCTAGTAGTAACTTGTCTGTCAATCCCTTTTAAGTGTGAACTGGAAAGAGCGTTTGAGTTAAATGAAAAAAATTTGCCTGAAGCCCCACCCAAACCTCAGTGGCTTTTAAGCAGACGGTGCAAACCTAATCACTTGGACCTCATTTGAAAGAGTAATGTCCTTAATGAAGCATTAATTCCATGGGAGTTAACATACTTTGCCTTATAAGTTATGTTTCATGACTGATCGGGGGGGGGGGGATTTGGATGCAAAATTCAACTTTGATATTTGTCTTTTAAAGTTACATAGTAGAATCATGATTTTTAAAATCATCTAGTAAACATTGTTTCAGAGTTGAGAATGATTTAGATACTTATGATCAGACAGAAAACACTGGGATTGTCCCTTTGTAAGCTGGGTATTGATGAATCTCCTTTATAAAGATATTTTGCCTTTGAAGCATGTTCACAATGCCCAGAAGAGGAAAGTTTCTCACAATTAAGAGTGTTTTTGTAGAGTAGTGACCCATAGCAAGGTCCCCTTGGGAGCTTATAAAGGTCAATCAGCATTAACAAACTGTACAGACTATAGGAAGCTATGAACATATTGAAAGTCTGTCATATTTATAGGTGAAATACTAGTGATAAAACTGCAAATGCTTTGAATTGGTATTTATGTGCATTAGAAGTTTCTGTTAACTAGTATTCCATGATTCCTTGAGCTATTATTATTATTTATTTAATTTATATCCCGTATTCCATGATTCATTGAGCCTCAACATCTCCTGTTACTTTCAGTTCTTTTATAAAAAGCCTGCAGCATTTGCATTGCATGACTACCTGTAAAAAAATCCAGATGGCTGTACACAGAAGCTTTAATTGAGAAGTCATATACATGCCCAAGACTTGCAGTACTGTCATTTCTCAGGAAAGGAGGTCATCAGACATGCCCTAAGCATCAAAATCATGTTACGCAAACATGTTCTTGAAAATTTGTTTATGGTAGATCCAATTTCTAAACGTTTAAAGGAATAGAAATTACGTTTTCTTCTAGATCTTGATGATTTTGAAACTTCGCAGAGAAGCACAGTTATAGTAGAAGAAGGAAATACTGCTTTAATTCATTGCAAACTACCAAAAAGTAATCCAGACGTACAAGTGCGTTTCCGTGTGCGGGGGAAATGGCTGGAACAATCAACAGGTGAGATTATATGTAATATAAATATATGTGTCTATTGAACATTTAGTATTTTATATACAGTTGTGCCTCGCAAGACGAATGCCTCACTGGATGAAAAACTCGCAAGACTAAATTGTTTTGTGATTGTTGTGGTGACTCACAAGACGGCTTTTTCTATGGCTGTGCTTCAAAAGACTTTTTTTCCGCAAGAGCGATGTCTCACAAGACGAAAGTTATTTGTTCCTCTTGCGAGGTTTCCCATAGGAATCCATTGCAATGCATTCCTATGGGAAACCGCCCTTTTGCAAGACGAAAATTTTGCAATACGACGCTATTCGCAGAATGAATTACTTTTGTCTTGCGAGGTACCACTGTACTTTCTTTTGAAGTATGCTTCAAATCTAAAAGTTGGATAATTAACACAGTAGAAGATCGTTCTGTATTGTTTTTTGAAATTAAAGCTAATCTACCTTTTTTTTCAAACTAGAAAACTATTTAATTCTCCCTTCTGGAAATCTACAAATTTTGAATGTATCTTTAGATGACAAAGGAGTTTATAAGTGTGCAGCATATAATCCAGTCACTGATGATCTCAAACTTGAACCTTCTGGACATAAGATCATAATCAGCAGTAAGTATTAAACACAGCAAGAATAAAATTGTTCAGTGAAATCAAAGAATAAAAGGCACACCATTCTGTCATTTTTATATATGCTTCTGCATCTGAATCCAGTCCATTTTATTGAAGAGGTTTGGTAAGGAAGTTCAATCATCTTTATAGCCTGTACTGAAAATTCATTCAGTATTTCCCTTCTTATCGGGCCTTTGGCTGTAGAATAAATTTGTATTGTATTGTATTTCCCTTCATCATGCTTAAACAATTGCTTAAATCCTAAGCAATTGGATTAAATTGAAGTCACCATTTTAGAATATGTTTATAAACAGTGTCTGATTTAACCATTGTTAAGAGTTACATCTGCACCAAGCAACCATTGGAGAAGTACCATTCCTTGGTGGTAAAGCACATGCTTTGCTTATACAACTTAACAGGTTTAGTTTCTGATTTTTCTGTAATCCATAAGTAGAGCCTTGAGGAGCTGCTGTCCCTCAGAGTGGATATTACTAAGTTAGTAAGACTACTGATCTGACTGAAAGCTAGTTTTTAAAGTTCACAAGGAGAAGTCTAGTGAAGCTAGACTAAAAACAGGAAAAGTTACAAACAGATCCCACGAATTGTTTCCCACTTGGATGGCTGGGATTAGTTTAACTTCCTGGGCAGCTCCTTTTTTTTTTACAGGAGGTTAAACTGGAGCTAGGCCCTTCTCCAGGTGAACAAAACAGATGTGTCTGAAGGTGTCTCTAGTTGTGGGTCTCTGGGCTGGAATTCCCAGAATTCTGCTGGGGGAATTATTGGAGAATTCAGAGAGTTGGGACCCAGAAAATCTGAATGCATGTCCCTATTACCAAAAAGCGTGCTGCTCATATACTGCCCCGTAGCGATTCAAGCACTCTCTGGGCGGCTTACAAGTTAATTATGCAGGCTACACCCCTCCCCCTCGCCGCGAGCTGGGTACTCATTTTACCAACCTTGGAAGGATAGAAGGCTGAGTCAACCTTGAGCCGGCTACCTGGGATCGAACCTCAGGTCGTGAGCACAGTTTGGGGTGCAGTACAGCAGTTTAACCACAAATGCATGTCCCTTTTACCAAGACATTAGGATTGAGGCTCTGAAGGCTTCCCCAGGGCAAAAAGAAGCCCGAGGGCACTTCAGAATCTAAAAGAAAGGGAATAGGAAGCTTTCAGTTATTTTAAATTCAGTTCTTTTGGCACCCAATTTAGGTTACACCATGCAAAATTATAGAACAGAATTTTGCCAAATAGAATTTTTTGCCTCAATTATGCCTCATATCAGAAGAACTTTTTTCCTTCTCTCAATTTCCAGGCTCTTCCTCAGAGGATTTTCATATAATTCATCCTACCAGTTCTCAGGCTTTGGCAGTACCTCGGTACAATCCTCTGATGTTGGAATGTGTTGTTAGTGGACTGCCTGCATCACATGTCCACTGGTATAAAGATGGTAAAGATGCACTTGGGAGAGGCAGGTGGCGCATATTTCACTCCCACCTTACAATTGACTCAGTTGATACATCAGATGCTGGAAATTACTCCTGTGTGGTCGATAATGAGTCTGGAACTGTAAAACATGTGAACTACAGTGTAAATGTACTTGGTAAGTTATGACAACTCCGAAATACTTATTTCATAGGTTTTTGAAGAGAGACATTTATAGTCAGTGAGACATGATGGTGTAGTATTATCAGCAAAACAAAATTCAGTATAGTCTGTCTGAAAATGTTCTCCCCCTCCTTTTTTTTTTTAAAGAACCTGCTCAGATTTCAAAAGGATTGCAGGATCAATTAATAACTCTAGGTAAAAATGTTCATCTTTCCTGTGAAATACATGGAAGCCCGATACCTGATGTCACCTGGTACCATAATGCAGCCCCTATCTACCTTTCTTCAAGACACTTGCCTTCGGGAAACAAATTGAGCATTGCTGATGTCAACAGAGAAGACACAGGGTTGTATCAGTGTCTAGTAAACAACAGTATTGGATTTGTGCAGTCTACTGGGAGACTTCATTCTCAAGCAGGTACAAGAAGAGTTACCACACCATTTTTTTCACAGTCTGTGTTCTCTGCCCTCTTTCAGTCTATATGAAGGGTAGCCCAAGGAATCAAACAGGCTATTCTCCTGAATTGTTTCTAGTCAACAAGCTAGTCTTCAAGTGGTAGGGTTGTACAAGCCCTGTGTCTTCCACTTTGTTGTGAAATACATTATATTCCACCAATAGTTGGCTAATTCATAGTGCAATAGCTTCAGGTTTTGTGCAAATGAGAAGAGTGTAGAAATATTTATAATAACCATATAAGCACCTAGTATGTGATGATTACTGGACTTATTTCAAAAACTAGAGAAAATAAAAATTGATCTCATCCATCGGCCACATTTTCATGTTTTGTGCATGAGTGGCATAACTAAACAGATGCCAGAAGGGTAAATTTACTTTGGATGTATCCTGAATACCAAACCAGACCATTTGGATATACCAACACATAGACCAGTAATCTTATTTTTAAATCATACAATTCTAAGAAGAAATATGTTTGTTTGCCTACATAGTGCTATTAAGTACTGAAGTTGCAGTGGCAGCTTGAAAGAAAATACAAAGTAGTTGCCTGGATGACTGCAAGCAAAAAAAGTAAATGGTTATTTTAAAGCTATAATAATCCAGTTTCATTTTTTCTTGAACTAGCTAATTGTAAGCTAAACCATATATTTGTGACACATTGAGTCTGTTTAGCTCTTTTCATAGTGTTGGCATTTAAAATAGTTTTTTTTAAATTATAAGACAATTACACTTGGAAAATTGGTTGTAGTCTGTTTAAAAATTTGCATAAATGAATTGCTTATCTGAATATCTGTTAACTGTTATGAAAAATCAAGTTACTTCTGACTTAGGGTGACACTAACAGGGTTTTCACTGTATGTGAAACATTTGTGGAATGGTTTACCATTTCTACTACCACCACCCCAGTGATTTTTATAATAGAGCAAGTATTTGAAACCAGGTCTCTAGAAGTCTGACTTCTCTATCCACTACATACGACACAACTGAGGCTCTACCTACTAAATATCTACTTACTGAAATAGTTCTCTTGACTAAATCTGCCATAGTAACACTTCAGTAGTTGTTTTTAAAAGGGACGTGGTGGCACTGTGGGATAAACCGCAGGAGCCTATGCTGCAGGGTCAGAAGACCAGCAGTCGTAAGATCGAATCCACACAATGGAGTGAGCTCCCGTCGTTTGTCCCAGCTCCCGCCAACCTAGCGGTTTGAAAGCATGCAAATGCAAGTAGATAAATAGGGACCACCTCGGTGGGAAGGTAACAGTGTTCCGTGTCTAAGTCGCACTGGCCACGTGACCACGGAAGATTGTCTTCGGACAAAACGCTGGCTCTGTGGCTTGGAAACAGGGATGAGCACCGCCCCCTAGAGTCGAACACGACTGGAAAAAAATTGTCAAGCGGGACCTTTACCTTTACCTAGTTTTTTTAAAATGCATTTGTGGCCAAAACAGTTTCTGTAAGTAAGGTCTGAAAGATGTCCACATGTTGTTCCCTGGATTGCCTCCATAATTGCCCAGGCTTCTGTATGTGGAACAGTTGTGCTTTAGTATAGTAAGTTTGTGTGTCTGTCTTTTTATTTGAAATAGATAGAGGTTCCAAACCAATTATAACCTCATTGCCGCGAAGCTCCAAAGTGACAGATGGTGATACATTCATGCTATCCTGCAATGCTACTGGACTGCCCACTCCTGTAATCCGTTGGTACAATAACCATGGGCTGATTACTAGCCATCCTTCACAGGTGCTTTATTCAAAATCACGGAAATTATCCTCCCAAGCAAAAACTGGGAACTCCATTTCAGACAGAGGCTACTTCATCATGTCTCGAGGTGGATCAAGCTCCCTCTATGTCCAGCCTGTTACAGAAGAGCACACTGGGAAGTACATCTGTGAAGCAACCAATGAACATGGGTTTGCTCGTTCAGTGACTTTCCTTACAGTTAGTAAGTGACACCTACATTTTCTTATGTTGGTTAGGGTAAATATTTTTGGTAGAATTGCTCTGTAGCAGTTGTATGTTTTATTTTTCCATCAGTCTTCAGGACAAAATGTCATCTGTACGATATTATGCTACAAGAGCTTGTCCTTTTTTTGAGATTAACAGAACAAGTCATGGTGCAAGGGTTAAGCTAATGTATATAGAACCTAAGATTTGAGTGACTGGGATGTGGTGGCGCTGCGGGTTAAACTGCAGAAGCCTCTATGCTGCAAGGTCAGAAGACCTGCAGTTGTAAGATTGAATCCACGCAACGGAGTGAGCCCCCGTCGCTTGTCCCAGCTCCCGCCAACCTAGTGGTTTGAAAGCATGCAGAATGCAAGAATGCGAGTAGATAAATAGGTACCACCACAGTGAGAAGGTAACAGCATTCCGTATCTAGTCGCGCTGGCCACGTGACCACGGAAGATTGTCTTAGGACAAACGCTAGCTCTATGGGTTGGAAACGGAGATGACCACCGCCCCCTAGAGTCAGACGCAACTGGACAAATTGTCAAGGGGAACCTTTACCTTTACCTAAGATTTGAGTGGGCACTGTACCTAATTGTACAGAGAGATATATAGCATTTGGCCCATGTGTATACCTAACCTTTAACTTCCTTCTGCAGTTCCCTATGAAACTAGTACAAAAGCAGAAGAAATTGCTCCTGTGGAATTTACTCAGAGCGATGAAGGAGGTGGAGATCATGATTCTGAAATGGGCCTTGAAAGCTCATCTCCAACAGAGGTTCTTACTGATGAAGTTGCTACAGAAAAAACATCCAGTGGCATTTCCCCACCAGAAGCTCCAATAATTCTGAGTCCTCCACAGACACTTAAACCAGACCAATACAATCTGGTGTGGAGGCCTGGAAAAGATGGTGGCCAGCCGATTAAAGCCTATTTTGTGAAATATCGCAAGGTAATTCCTCATGGCTTTGCCTCTGTCAATTTATGCTTTCCTGTTACTTTTTGGGGACAAAGGAAGAGACCTTCAATAGGACTGTCATCATTTTTGTTAGTAAACTATTTGTGGTTAAAAAAGAGTTCCTGGCTTAGAAAGAAAAGAACCTTGGAAAGCTTCTAAATGCTGGCATTTAACAATAGGGTTGGGCCAGAAAGAACACAGGCTATAACTCTCATAGTTGGAGGATTTCTGGTAACAGTGATTGAAGTAGCTTTGCTCTTTTGCAACATACTATGGCCTTGCTCAGTAAGTATAATGTTCAAATCTAAATTATGCAGTAGATGTGGAAATATTTTGGTAAATAATGTATGCATTTAATTATTTTTGTTTGTGTGTGTGGCGTTCGCCCTTTTGGCCCCTGCTTGTCTTTCCCTCACAAAGGCTCTCGTCGTGTTTTCCTGTCGCTGCCACCAGTGGATTATCTCAGTCCACAATATAAATTATGTTTGTCTGAACGCTTGTCTTGTGAACAGAAACAGAACTCATTTATTGAAGTGAAGCAGACTGAATAATAACAGAAGTTCTTCAGATACACGTTATACATAAGCAAATCATCAACAGTTCTCTCAGTACATATTTCTTTTCTCTTGCTATATCATTACCACCTTCTCTACCTAGTTTTCTAACCAACTCGATCTCTCAGTATCTGTTCCCTCTCTCTCTGATTAACCAGCCCTATCTGACTCCTCCTTCTCCTGCCGAACCTCATGTACTGTAGCTGCTGACTCCTCCTCTCCAGTCCTCTCATAGGTTCATGTAAATCAGCTCATGAATATGAATGGCATGAGTGACGTGGGTGATCTTCACTATGTGTTTTTAGGAAAGATTTTGTGGCTAGTCACTAGCTATAGAAAAATTATTTTGATTGAACATTAAACATGTTTCACTGAACTTTAAGCCAAACCTTTCCCATAAATTGGAACTATTCATTTCTGGGTAGCATGGTCTCATTCTGACCTAAAACCAGAAGTACCACAAAGTAATTTCTTTTTTTAATCTGACAAAATTCTTGTACTGTTGTGGCAGTCTTTTTAGAAATATAATTTTGTATTCAGAGATCATTGGTTCCATTATACATTGAGCACTGGCTATACATAGTGGAAATCTTTTCCATCAGTTTTTGATTACTTTTATTGTTCTTTTCTTAATATTTATCTTATGACTTCAGGCGCTTTTGGAAAATTGTTACACATTTTTTCTTTTTTCTAGTAACCTCTCTTAGAAATAAAGTTTAATGTGAGTCAGAGCTTCTATGCCCATGCTTCAGAATTTCTTTTGACTACTAGACCTTAGATTTGGGTGGTATGGAATATTAGTAAGGACAGCTGAAGATACATATAGATGTCCTACTTCTCATCATGAAGCAATTGCAACTTGCAATTGGTTGCAAATTGCTAAAGCTGGCATATAGTTGTGCAGGAACATAGGAAGAAAATCAGAAATGCATGCACTGGTGCCTCTGTGTCTTTGTCTCTCCTGTTCTCCAAGCTTAATCATAACATTTTAACAGAATAATTAAGAAAAAAAGTTCTGTATTTGTTAGGCATACATTGTCTGAACTTCAGTAAGTAAGAAACTTGGATTTTTGGTGTGACTGTTAATGATGTACACAGCTTTGCTTAAATAAATGACTGTCTTGCACTTAAATTACTTTGTCTCTCCTGTTCTCCAAGCTTAATCCTAATCCTAGTTGACAACTTCTTGTCATATACTAATTAGAACTCTTGTATTCCTCCTCCTGCAGTTGGATGATACTCTCAATTTTACCAACTGGAATACAATTCGTGTCCCTGGAAGTGAAAATGAACTTTGCCTCTCAGAATTGGAACCGTCCAGTCTCTATGAGGTCTTGATGGTAGCCCGAAATATGGCAGGGGAAGGTCAGCCTTCCATGCTCACTTTCCGTACTAGCAAAGGTAAGGAAATGCATGGCATGCTATGCCTCTTTTCTTGGAGTAAATTGCAACAAAATTTATCTTTTGTAGAAACCTCTAATACCCATTTAAAAATGGCAATTTTTTAAAACCTCATACTCAGCAGCTGTTTTGAACTACACCTGTGGATATAGCACAAGTCTGGGTTGGAGCCTAAGAATTTGTGAATTCCTTTCACAAAAAATAATAATAATACTCCTAGAAGGGAGAGCTTTCTCCTATTTCACTATAGAAGTCTGCTCTGATGGATTGTGGAACTCTTTGGAACATCATGGGAAGTGGTACCAAAGGGTAGCGGGAGTAAGGAGGAATCAGCAGAAATTGTCCTTTGTTTTTTAGTAGGAAGCTCAGTGGGACTGAAGATCTTTCTGAACAGAAAAAGGTAGTTTGTAAAATGCTTCATGTTTCTTGAGGATTCTTCAAAGTGTATTCCAGAAATTAATTTCTGTGTATGGGCTATCCATTAATAGCAAAGGCTATACTGTTGAGACATCAGTAATAACATTTAGTTTTAGTTTAACATCTGTACCCTGTTTCCATGAAAAGTAGACCTAACCTGAAAATAAGACCTAGTATGATTTTTCAGGATGATCGTAATATAAGTCCTAGTTAGGTGAAACCCCACCCTCCACCATTGTGCAGCAATCAGAAGATGATAACATGACTGTAAAATAAAACATCCCCTGAAAATAAGCCCTAATGCATTTTTGAGCAAAAATTAATATAAGACCCTGTCTTATTTTTGGGGAAACACAGTAGTTTAAATTTCAGTGCCAGTCTTATCTTCTTATACTGTTCTGAAAGGGAGTTAATTTTGTTTAGGATATTTGTGATTGTAGGGCTTACTAGAAAGGTTCAAAAATACTTCAGGAGAGACTGACATTATTTTTTCCAGTCATGTTTCATTTATTCATTGAGCATATACTCTGTTTGTTAGAAAGATCCTCAACTTCAAAGAACACACAGGGCCCCTCTCAACCAGTTGGCGTTCCTAAGCACTCTGTTATTCAGGAAGGTTCAACCAACAACTTTGGTGTCGTCCTTCCAGATTCTTCTCGGCATAGTGGAGGTAGGTGCCATCATTCTTTTACCCCAGACCCATGTACTCAATGTTATATTGTACCAGGTGGGGGTGGGGAATGTCTTGACTCCCTTTTCTTGCTGCTCTTCTGTGCATTTAATTTACCTGTTTATTTTGTTTCTCCTCCAATTGAATTACTGGTATAGCAGTTTAAAAGCAAAACTGGCAAAGCCTCAAACTCTGAATTAAATTGGGAGAGCCAAAGTACATCAATAGCATATGTACCGTCTAAGTCCTGACATCACTAGTTGAAAACAGATGATGAAGTAACAAATATGAAAGACTTTTGCCTATGATCCTGGAGAGCTGTCACCAGTCATTGCGTAGACAATTAAGATTGGGATAAATATCCAAGTAATCTAATCTGATGTAGGAGAGCTTGCCATTTTCTACCCCTAGGTACGCTTTTAGGTGGTAGTGATGGGTTTTGAAGAGCCACTTCCAGTCTCTATAACACTGATCTAGATAGCTCAGTGGTCTGGCTCTGTATGAAATAGCTTTGTATTTTTATTTGTAATAATTTTGCGAAAAAGATTCAGTTTCTCTTTTGAAGTAAAATATTCTTCTTCTGGACGTTCTTCTTCTGTATATTAATGGTAGAATAATGTTTGATGGATACCAAGGATTCACTATTCTCACATAACCACCCCAGTTTTCATATTTGATTTAATGTATAATCAGGACAGTGGCTACAAATGTATTTTTTTTCTTTGTGATCTTTGATTATATGTTAAGATGCTGAGATCAAGTGACTTTATGATTATCATAAAGTTTGGGTTAGGCAAGATTAACTGATACATGTATTTAAAATTTACCATATTTTAAGTAATACACTTCATATCCTTCTTTCCAAATTTAATCCCTTTCTCTCCGTGGGCATGATTCAGTGACATACTTCTGTAGCCATCATCCCTTTTCTTTCCTGAAGCAGTCCTTTGTGGTTCTAAAAGTCTTCCAGACTTTCCCACCCTCTACCAAAGATTTTAAGGGTAGGAGGCAGGAAGGGGTGTGTTGCAGGTGGAAGTGAGGAATCACTAAGTGGTTAAAGCAGAGAGATATACCAGAGAAGGTATATTACCTGATCTTGGCCGATGTAATTAACTATATAGACCTGTACAGTAAAGACCAAAGAATGTGTCTGTTAGAATTACTATAATCAAATTCACTAACATCACCTCTCTCAATTCTTTCTGTTCCCCCTGCTGTCTAACTTCAAGTGAGTTCAGTAAGTATTAATATAATCTGCATGGTTTTGAATGCTAGCTAATTTGTTTTTAAGTGGCTTAAAACTGCTTAATACTTGGTAACTGTAGAAATAAAGCTTTTGTGAGTCTAGGAATTTTAGGTCTTTTTAGGGCTTCTGTGCACATGGTTTAGTGTCTGTAAGAAGCTGATTTCAGTTCTCAAGCAGAAGTGTCACTGCAGATTGCTTTGACTAGTTCTGTGGTTGTGAATTAAGCTGTGCTGTCTTTGTTCTGATGATGTGCAAATACTTCAGAACTGCTATCATTCAGTGTTCCTGAATATCAGAGCAAAGATATCATTGCAGAGATAGCAGGTTGTTGTTTTTGTTGTAGGAAGCTATAATATGCTCCATATTTGACAATTGAAATGATCTTCTGTGCATACATTTAAGGATTTCCTGGACTTAAGGCTACATAATGTTCTTCTGACTTGAGTAAAACACATGATTAAATAAAATGCAAGTGTAGAGAGTACCTGTAACTATTATCAATTCTATAAGGATCTTTTCTATTTTTGTTTTAGTACCTGAGGCACCAGATCGACCGACTATCTCCACTGCATCTGAGAATTCTGTCTATGTCACTTGGATCCCACGTGCAAATGGTGGCTCACCTATTACTGCCTTCAAAGTAGAATATAAACGCATGAATAGGAACAGTGAGTGGCTGGTTGCAGCTGATAACATCCCCCCTTCTAAACTTTCAGTGGAAGTCCGCAATTTGGATCCAGGTATTAATACATATCCATTGTGTTGATGAACAGGGAACATAATCATCAGTAGTGCCAGATTTATAAACTTGTAGCCCAGTTGAAGGGACGTGGTGGCGCTTCAGGTTAAACTGCAGAAGCCTTTGTGCTGCAAGGTCAGAAGATCAGCAGTCGTAAGATCGAATCCACACGATGGAGTGAGCTCTCATTGCTTGTCCCAGCTCCCACCAACCTAGCAGTTCGAAAGCATGTAATTGAGAGTAGATAAATAGGTACCACCTCGGTGGGAAGGTAATGATGTTCTGTGTCTAGTCGCGCTGGCCACGGGACCATGCAAACTGTCTATGGATAAATGCTGGCTCTATGGCTTGGAGACAGGGATGAGTACCACCCCCTAGAGTCAAACACAACTGGACTAAATGTCAAGGGGAACCTTTACCTTTGCTAGCCCCGTTGAGCCATGTGAAGTTGTTCTCAGCTATTGCAAAATCCCCCTTTAAAGCTGTTTTCTCTATGAGTGGCATTTTTCCATGAACATTAGGGTATATCCCTAGTCAGCTATTACCGGTCTAACTCAATATGTAGAGTGTGAATGTGTCTTCCGTCTCTACTCCATGCCTTTTTAAAATTTTCTTTCTTTTTACTGGTAGAAAAGAACATTTGATCTAACAGTTGGCTAGGAAAGATATTACTTCATTTGAGGGAGGAGACATTGTATATTCAAGCTTGGGGCTTGTTTCTTAAAATTTCTCATTTTCTACTCAGGGAGTTCTGGTTATTTTCAAATTTTTCCTTTTTAAAGTATCTCAGGATGGTGAGATAAGTACAGTGGTGCCCCGCTAGACGCTTACCCCACATGACATTGAAATCGCTTGATGATGACATTTCTGCGATTGCTATTGCAATCGCAAAACGATGGTTCCAATGGGGGAAATCCGCTTTACGTTTATTAGGAGCCTGTTTTTTTCTGGCTCTGCAAAATGGCTTCCCTCCCTTCTCAAAATGGCTGCTTTCCGGCTCCACAAAATGGCTTCCCTCCGCAAAATGGCTTCACTCCCTTCTCAAAATGGCTGCTTTCTGGACGGAAGCTTCGCATTACAGCGATTTTTAACAGCTGATCGGTGGTTCTCTATGGGCAATCTTTGCTGGACGATGAGGTATTTCCCCCATTGGAACACATTGACTGGTTTTCAGTGCATTTCAATGGGTTTTTTACTTTCGCGTGACGATGATTTCACTCTACAGCAATTTTGCTGGAACGCATTATCGTCATCAAGCAGAGCACCACTGTATGTTCTTTGGTACTCTGGAGAAGCATAAAATGGCCTCTGTTTAAAAAAGGGATTGGTTTAAAATTACATGAACACTTGTATTTCTGCTACACTGTGCTTCTCACATTTGCTTTTATTTTCTTACCTAATAATTTGATGTTCTCCCTTTTTTCCCCCTTCATTTTTGTCATATGGAAGGAGCCTTATACAAGTTTCGTGTGATTGCTGTTAACAATTATGGGGAGAGTCCACGAAGTTCTGCCTCTCGGCCTTATCTAGTAGCTGGCTTTACCAACCGATTTTCCAACCGTCCCATCACAGGACCTCATATTGCTTATACTGAGGCAGTCAGTGACACTCAGATCATGTTAAAATGGACTGTAGGTATCTATTTTTTTCATTCTCTGAAGGGGATGGGTCATGGCCTAGGAAAGATACATGTACTGTGTGAAACAAGTAGTGTTGCTCATGCATCATACTGGAGTTAATACTGTTTTCATTCCTGCTTGGAGGCAAGAAGGCGATCCAAGTATATGCTGCTGGCAACAAAAGCTGTATGAAAATCTTTGATCGTTTTAAATTGGGTGTATAAATGCTACAAATTATTGTAAACAGATTTTTCTTCATACAATTGAAGGCTTTCACTTTCAGCTTCTATTTGTTTATAAATATAAACATATTAATAGATGGAAACAAGTTTCCCCTTTTCCTTCTCACTGGTTTAGTTCTCTGCATATTAGTTACTGTTGCAGTGTGGAGCTAAAACTAGGGAGAGAAGCATGTTGGTTAGCCCATAATTAGAGGACACATCATATTGATTGTTGCAGAGAGATGACAGAGATAATCTTTGTAGGTACGTGGAATTAAGTTCCAAATGAATCTTGTGCTGAAGTTCAGAATGTCAGTCACCAAACAAGGCAAGCTAATTTGCATATTCCTAAAATTGGTAGAAACTCCTGCTATGATACTCAGATATTTGCATTAGCTCAGGACTTCCCTCTTCAAATCATGGACTGTCTCTGGTAATTATTTCTGGCCTGAGCTTAAGCGAGGCACCACTGTAATTATTTCTGGCCTGAGTGGTGAGAATATATATGAAAAAGGTACGCAACTTGGCCAGTTGACAGGTCTACTGTCCACTCGGTGCCTACCATTGCCATGGTGCTGAAGTTCAGCATCAACTTTGGAAAAGGCATTAAAACAAAAAGGAAATGGGCTTTTTGTGTTAAATTTTGTTAGCAAACTGCAGATTCCTTTTAAAGCAAGTATACCAGTATATCAGATTTGCATGAAATGAGGAGCACAAAATACTAGTAACTGGTAACTTGAGCCCTGGTTAATTGCATAATGATAGTTTAGGTGTGCATAAATGAGGTTGGATTTGTCAGGGTTGCAAATTGCTGCTAATTAACAGGATGCTGCCTGTATTCCTGATTGTACATCTGGTTGCACTGTGAGCGTGCAACCAGAAAAGCAGGTAGCATCTTGTTAACTAGTGACGATTCCTCACTAAGGATTTATGTAATCTTATTTATACATGTATAAATTGTTAATAGAGTTCTGGACAATTTTTCAGTTCTTAATGACTAATGAATTTAAAACAATGTATATTTAGAGTAGATTTGTAAAATATATGTACTCCTAGGCATTTGACTTTCCATGTTTCAAAAATTGTTTCAAAACGCACTTTATATTTCAGTATCTCTTTTCCCATTACATCAAGGTTATCTATTAGACTTTCCCCTCCATCTAATTGTTAATTAGTTCTGAATCTAAAAATGTTTAAATGTTTCTGTTGTAGTATATTACTTCAAGTAATAACAACACACCCATCCAAGGATTTTATATCTATTATCGTCCAACAGATAGTGACAATGACAGTGATTACAAGAGGGACGTTGTGGAAGGTATGTTGAATTGATTATGTAAGCTACAGTTCCAGGTATGTTTCCTTTTTTCCAGGGCATGAAACCCAGATGTTGTCTGTATCTGAGGCCAAAATCAGGAGCTCAAAGCAAATTGATAATACTCTTCTGTAGACAAAGGGACTGTACTCTTTGTGGTATAAAAGAAAATTGAAGCAATTCATGCAAGAGATTGGAGTGAAATCTTTTCTTTCCTCTCTGACCCTAAGAAGGCACTAGTAAGAACTATGTTACTTCCTAAATCTAGCTGGTGCTGTTTCTTTCATCCCAGAATATATCGGGAAGATATGCTTTGGGAGTTTTATCCTTTTAAGGTTTTGATCAAGAATTCAGTTCTGAATGTATTAATAAGTTATTGCTTGTAATTAAAATCTACTACTGTACTTGTAGTTGCATTTGGCTGAATAAATTTTCCTTAATCTGTTTCCTCCAGTTAATTTATGAAGTATGTTCTTCCCCTTTGCAAGTCTTTTCTGTTCAACTAAGATTTTGTATTTTGATTTAATTCTTTTTTCAAGTGAAACATCAAAAAATTGTAAACTGTGTTGTCAACAGGAAAATGATCATCTTCTCGTTCTCTAACAATATTAGCATTTGCCAATGAAATTGGATGAATTTACAGTGTAATTTTTAGGTTTCTTTTTATGAATTGTACTGTGGAAAAATATACAGACCAAAGTGCATTGCTTAATCCACTATCAATTCATAATCTACATCAGTGGTTCTTAACATTTTTTACTCAGGTGTTTTTGAACTGCAACTCCCAGAAACCCCAGCCAGAAGAGCTGATGGTAAAGGCTTCTGGGAGTTGCAGTCCAAAAACATCTGAGTAACAAAGGTTAAGAACCAGTGATCTACATCATGGTGTACTGGTTAATCTGCAGCCAAATCTCTGCTTATGACCTAGAGTTCAAGGCACCTTAAAACATTAACAGGCAATATTAAGGCAAAGATCAATTTTAAAAAATGTTACTCTGAGAAATTTAAAACACAAGTAGTATTAAAGTCAAAGTAATAATCACAGTCCATCTAAAACTCACACACAGGTAGCTAGATTACTAAAGGAGGGCTTGTCTGAAGAGAAAGGTCTTTGCTTGCTTGCGGAAGGATAGCAGAGATGGGGCCAATCTCACCTCCTATTGAAGGGAGTTCCATAGTCTTGGTGCAGCAACAGAGAAGGCCCTAGTCTGTGTCCCCATAATTGCAAATGCCTATTCAGCTTTGAATGTTAATTAGTGTCACTCAAGCTGTGCTTTCTGAAGAATTAGCTGCTCCATTTGTAGCTTTTTTAAAAGATACACAGGTAATTTATTTATAAATGTTTTAGTGACTCCCATTGTTCTGTGACGTTTCTGGCATCTGCTTTTGAGATTTATGCATATTACCATTCAGTGGAAACCTAAAACTCTTAGGAGCTGATTTATTATGTCAAAACTTAAACATATACTTGTGAAGTGGTAGAAATGTTATACTCCCTAGTTTTATCAATCATGTTCTAAAATATCCTTTCCCTCTTTTATTGCATAGAGAAATCTTGGATCTTATTGGATGCCATGCCTTTTAGATCACTGTAATCAAACTTTAAATATTTTAAAAATAAGTTTTAATAAGTAATCAATGTTTACCTTGGATTTCCACTTGCAAACATTCAGCTGGTAGAAAGCTTCTGTAATTCTTGTGGCTTAATCACTACTCTGAAAATTTAGGTACATACTTGTCTTTTGAGTCTTTTTTTGTTGTGTAGGTTGTGACTTACTAATCTTGTTTTTAAATTATTTGACCAATACTAACTGGTTTTCTGCTTCTTCGGCAAAACTATCACTAAACCTGCTCTTACCAGTTATTGAACTTTCATATTCCTTGTTTGATTCTTAGAGATAGTGTCAAAACCCGCTGTGTGCATTCTGATGACAGATGGTTAAATTTTCTTTCCCATTATGCTCATGTTTGCTCTACATACAAGTGTGTGTAGGGGGGAAGGTAAGAATGGCTATACATGCACAAAGCAACAGTATTCTGAACCCTAGTCAACAAAGGATCATATGGAAAGCAGATTTAAAATGTTTAAACAATCCATCTGTAGAAATGATGGAAAGGGGAAACCTGAAACCTAGAGTTCCCTTACTGAAGGGAATGCTTAGAATGGAGATTTGAAAAATGAGTGCCTTGGGGAAAGTTAGGTTGCCATTTGAATCTGTTTTTTAAGTTTGCTTTTGAGGATGTAAGGAAAAAACATAAGTACAAAAACCTCTTTGAGCCACTTATCACCTTTGAGGCATTTTAGCAATTGAACACATGAACTTTCATTATTGGTATGCTTTTATGGTACCACAAGGTTAGTATCTATCTAATCAGTTCACAGCCTTCAAGAACAAACAGTAGCCCTATACTCATGTTTACTGCAGAAGTAGAATTTTGGTGGTGGTAGGGTGATACACAGCCAGGATGGCTGACTGTTTACTTTGAGTTCTCCCTGATTATAAGGTCAAGAATGGTGTATCGCTGTATATTTAGTTGTATATATACAGAGTGTTCTGTACATATGATCCTGTGTTGACCTGGATTCAGAATACTGTTGCTTTGTGCACGTATAGCCCATTCTTACCTTTTCCACGCTGTGGAGAGTGAGGGATACAGCTAAATGATAGAATCCAACACTACGCGCGCGCGCACACACACTTGTACGTAGAGCAAACATGAGTATAGAGCTGAAACGTAAATCATACCTTAGCACTATTAGAACAGTTATGTCCTGATATTATTCTTCCCTATGAACCCTATATAGTTTATAGTTGTACATTTAATATAGTTAGCAGTAAATACAGCTGAGAGTTCTAAGATGGCAAACTTTTAAGAAGCACTGGAGGTATCTAAAACAACTTAATCTCAGACAGAGAGGATTCCTATTTATTAAAACTTGTCAGGAGAATTAATATACAAACTAGAACTTATTTATAAGAGTGCACAGATCTCCAGGTGGTGTCTAAATGAAAGATTGGAGTTGAGCCAGACATGATAAAATTGTTCTCTTAGATGAGCTTATTTGGGTTGGAATTCACAGAGCCAGAAAAAGAATACCTTGGAAACTGGATACCATAGTAATTTCCCCATACAGAAACATCCTCTGCTGCTTATCGTAGTTCAGATAGTAATGAAATGCATAAGCTTCCCCAGTCTTCCTTGAGGATATCTCCTTGTTCAGTCTAGAAATATATGATTTAAAGTAGTTTTTATGACATTTTCTGTCCCTTAAGCCTGTCAGGGTAACAAGAAACATCAGTAAAATATTGCTGGAAATCAAAATATAGTACAGAACATACCAGCAACAAAACAAAAGCTAAATAAACTCAGTCATGAGGCACCATTCTGCATTTCACCTTGCCCCTACCATATATCAAGCCATACTATGAAGTCAGTTCTTCATAGTATGGTGGATGATGGTCAACAAGAGGGCTAGGTGAGCCTCTTTTAGGCATTCCACATGAGACGTTCTATTGCCATGACAGCTTATGGTGTCCTGACAGTATTATCATTGCTTTGTACTGATCAGATTCCACAGCTTTAGCAACTGTATTCTGCTAGAAGGGCTGTCACCTGCATCCCTCTTTTGAATGCTCTATCTTAACGTGGACAAATGAGAGAGCACATTTTTGGCTATAGTGTCCCATTTAAAGAATGCCTTGACCCTGAAAAGCAGTCTGGTTCCAGTGCTAGTTTAATTTCAAGATTGATTTAGTTTACCATGAACTAATTTAGTTTGCTCATGTTTTTCATTCCTAATAAGTCTAGCTTGGTTCTAATTACATGTGGCTATTTCTGGTTTCATACTAGATTGTTGTGGTTTGGTATGTATGGCATGTCAAATTGTGTAAAGTGATTGTATCTGGTCCCAAGATCTACTAAGAGAATCTTATTGTGAAAATATGGGAAGTGACAAAAATGGATATTCTGTCCGATGGGCTGAAAGACTGTTCAATTCAAAAGGAAACTGAACGATGGGATGTATTGTATAAATGGCTGCAGTTACTAGATAGTGTTGGAGTAACATAGAATTAAACTAAAATTAAATGATAAGATGAAAGCAGGAGGGTAATCAAACTGTGAAAAAGCAAAAAGTTGATCTGTTATTGTAATATGAATTGATTGGATGATGGTATACTCTGTGTACTCCTATCCCCCTAACCCTTTTTTCCCTCTTCCCCCCTATTTTTTTATTCCCTACCCTATCCTTAAATAAATACTTAAATAATTAAAAAAATAATTGTTTTGTTTCACATTGTCTCACCAAGAAAACACCTGTACTTCTTTCTAGGCACAAAGCAGTGGCACTTGATAAGCCATCTCCAACCTGAAACATCATATGATATTAAAATGCAGTGCTATAATGAAGGAGGTGAAAGTGACTATAGCAATGTGATGATATGTGAGACTAAAGGTAAGAAGAGGATTGAAATGTTATTATATTACCGTATTTTTCGCACCATAAGACGCACTTTTTCCCACAAAACAGGGGGGTTACATTCTTCAATGGAAAGATCCTCTGTCCATCTTTTCCAGTATCACGCAGTTTTCAATTTTGAAATGGCAACATTTACAGTGCTTGGTTGACTAATAAATATAGCAAAAATAAAAATTCTGTTAAATTGTCATATAAAACCTTTCTTTCTCCAAATAGTGAAGCGGACACCTGGAGCTTCAGAATACCCAATGAAGGACCTTAGTACACCACCTAATTCTCCTGATCGTGGAGCTGGGAGCAGTTCTGGTCAGCCGAATGGTCCTGTCCGGAGTAGCGACATGCTGTACCTGATTGTGGGCTGTGTCCTTGGAGTGATGGTTCTTATTCTGATAGTCTTCATAGCCATGTGCTTATGGAAGAACCGACAGCAAAATGTCATGCAGAGTAGGTTACTTCTAGTATTATTTTTGGTTTTATTCAAGCCCAGTAAAAGGACATTACCACCAAGTACCTTAAACAACAAGTTTAATGTTTATTTCAGTCACTGTTCTATTCACCACTGACTAAATGTAATACCATGCAGTGTAATGGAGAACAAAGTAGTAAAGACATTTCAGTCATCATATGAAATGTAGAGGTTAAAGCATTATTCTGTGCTTTTGCTTTCAGTGCTGCTTCTATAAACTCTTATAGAATTTCAAACTTTCCCTTTCAAGAACGTCGTGAGAGAGCAGGAGAGTTAAGAACTAATTATATAGCCTTCTACTTTCAAATGTAATGCTAAGAGGTGGAGATCATTCCTACATTTATATGTTCCTTCAATACACTAAATTTTCACAATGTTAGCAGTTCTGTTTGGTTCTTACAACATCTAGATCCCGTAGTTAGCATAACTTGTGTTTGGAGCAAGCTTTGTAGTAAAGAATAATTTTGTTCCTCTTACATGCTATCAAGTCACTTTTGACTCATGGCAACCCAATAGGATTTTAGAGGTATGTGAGAGATTCAAGGAATGGTTTCCCATTGCTGCCCCCCAGGGAGCTTCCACAGCCAAGTGGTCATTTAAATCTAGGTGCCCATACTCTGCCTACTACATCACACTGGCCCTCATATGATTGATTATGTGCTGTCAAGTTGATTTTGACTAATAGCAACCCTTTCTCAGTTTTTCTAAGCATAATATACCAACAAGTATTTCACCAGTTCCTCTTTCAGGTGGCACTTTATACCATGCCACTTACAAGCTGGCTCTTCTCTGAGGGGGCCTAATGGGTAATCAAGCTTCCAATTTCTGGTTCTGCAGCCAGATGCTCCATCCCACTGAGTATTGCAGTTTTACAGAAGCTTTTGTGCCATATACCTTTTCATATTCCTCCAATGATAAAATAGGTGATTTTGGCCTGTTCATTTTTAGTGGTGGTTTCTGTTATCTAAACTGCTGGATTATTAACATGTTTTATAATATGCTTAACAGGCATTTGTGTGCTGAGCCAGGATTCTTCTCCCTGGTCATCTTCATAAGTTACCAATAGCTTATGTAATACTTGGTTTCAACCACTAAGGACATTCTCCTTATTCTTGCCTTTCCAGAATATGATCCTCCTGGTTACCTTTACCAAGGTGGTGATATCAGTGGACAAATGGTTGAATATACTACATTACCAGGCATGAGCCGTATCAATGGCAACGTACATGGGAATTTCATCAGCAATGGAAACCATAGCAATGGTTGCCTTCACCTCCATCACAAGGTTCCTAATGGAATTAACGGGATCATGAATGGTGTTGTGAATGGAGGAAATGGTGTTTATCCAGGGCACACTAATTCCTTGTCCAGAGCACACGTGGAGTATGAACACACCCACCACCTAGGAAATGTAAGTAAACTCTGTCTACACTTCTGTAGGCCTACCATTTGAATGTAAGAGTTTTTAGGAAATGAAGACTTATTAAATGCTGCATTTAACAAATATCACAGTTCTCATAGTACTAGGAGACCCCGCTGAAGCTAAACTTGCTGGAATCATCTCATTGGAATAGTTGAAAACTGAATACATCAGGCCATTGTGAAAGAAATAGGCATGTAACTTAATAGATGTTTTTAAAGCATCTCACTGAAGACATGACACTAATATTGTAAATTTTGGTCATATGCATTCATTGATAAACCATGCCTCTTCCCTGCAGTCATAAAACTCAGGAGCTTTTGCAACTTACTGTATTTTTCGCTCCATAAGATGCACCTCATTTTTAGGGGAGGAAAACAGGAAAAAATATTCTGGCAATTTCGGCCCGCGGGGGTGGCGGCGGGGGGAGCCTCCGAAGGGTCCTGGAAGGAACTCTCAGACCATTTGGCGGCTCCCCCTGCCCCCCATGGGGTCAGTGGGGGTGAAATTACCAGCTTGCAGGACCCTTCTGAGGCTTCAGAAGGGTCCTGGAAGGTCGAAATTTCGCTCCCACTGGTCCCACGGGGGGGGGAGGCGGAGCCTCTGAAGGGTCCTGGAAGGCACTCTTGGACCCTTCCAAGGTTCCCCTCACCATCCTCCCGCTGGGCCCTGGGAAGCACTGTATTTGCTTCATAAGACGCAGACACTCCCCTCCCACTTTTTTGGGGGGGAAGTGCATCTTATAGAGCGAAAAATACGGTAGATATATAAACAATATTATTGAGTTTACACCACAAATATTATATAGATCTTGTGGCTATAGAGAGACCAGTGTAGGCTGGCGGGAAATCGTAACACAGCAATATTTGTGTTTCAGCAATCGTAGGCTTTATGGACAAATTTTTCAAAAAGGAAAAAAAAAATGAAAAAGAAGTTGTTGTTTTGGGTTTTGTGAGCTTGTCTATTTCAAACCCAGTTATAACTTGGGAATGGAATACATAGATGTAGGAATGGACAGTTCACTTTTCCCTTTTGTTTTCGTCTAATTGAAGAGTGTCCACTTGGCAACTGTAGTGGACCAGAATTATTTCTCAGGCTTTTTCATTTTGCGTTATATAATCACAGCAATGGCACCTATCCTTTGGATACCCCCCCATTTGCAATTTTGATGATTTAGTAATGAGATATTGGGGGAATTCATGGTCTGTATGGACACATTCTTTTGGTTGCACAAATTTAACTATTCCAGAACCTGTATTTTTATTATTGGACAGTTTCTTCAAGTTTTAACTTTTAAGATGGATCTTAATCACTTTTCGGTATGCCAGAAGCTTTGGTCAGTGCCCACCCCATCCAAATAACATACATGATAGCATGTAAGAGGAACAAACACCTTCTCTGCCTTCTGCTCTCTGAATGTTTAAGACATGGTTAATATCTGCAGGAAAGAAAGACCGTGGGCAGTGTTCTATATGTATGGTGAAGAAGAATTCAGTTTCTTTCAATTAAATTTATTTGAAGAAGAGTTGTTTTATTTGCTTGTTGAAAATTTGTATCCCACATTGCCACAGAATACTCAATACAGCTGAAACTCAACAGAATTCACAGTTGAATTATATTAGGGCCTAGGGCATTATTCTAGTGGAGGGGAGTTAGCAATGTGCTGAGCTGAAAACTGAGCTGGGGATAAGAGGATGGGGTGAGGGGTGCTACTTTCACAAGCTGCTTTTTCTGCACCTGTAATCTGATGTCAAGGTAGTAGAGACTGCTGGGTCAGAGATCATTCAGAATTTTGTCAGTGTTTTTTGGACAAACAATGGAGACGTTCAGAAATTTGTCTAGCACCATCTGTGGAACAGAGGAGAGGAAAAACTGGTAGCACTGCATTTCATGGGGAAAACAGTTCCCACTTCTCAAAACCTTTTACATCTTTTCCATTCATCTTGCTTCCTTGTTGCATCTCTCTTAAATCCTTAGGTATCAAAATACTGATTTTAGAACTATCAGGACATAAGCATATGTATGACTGAGGCATCTAAACCCTGTGAAAAATGGGATCAAGTGTGAAGCTACCTATTTAGTAGAGTATCCCAAGAAACATAAATACAAAGGGAAACCTAAAATGGGTGTTAAGACAGTTAACTGATGCTGATATGAAGCTTGATTCTTGCTTTTGTGTTAGGGGGCAAAATCTTAGAAAATCACTTGAACCTTTTCAATCAGGTCTTGAAGTGCATGCATAGGAATTTATCTTTGCAATATGTATGCTGAACTGTTGAGGGGCACATTCTTCAAAGTTAATGAGAGCCATGCATTATATTTAGCTGCCAGCAATATCAGAGAACAAAATAAAAAACAAATCAAGAATCTGTACTTAAGCTATTCATTTCTCATCATCATCTGAAGGCAACACATAAGAATTAAGTTCTGTACAGAGTAATGGAGAACTGGAGACTGGAGTATATACACTGTATTTAGTATTAATCTTCTGGTCCCTTCACAGAACTACAACGCCCAGAATTCTCTGGTCAAGAAAAACCAAAATTGTTACACTTAATAGAAGCAGCCTTACTTTGGACTTGATATTTAGCAGGTCTAAGCAATTAAAATGCAGAATTTTACTACCACTTGTACTGCCTCATTTTTGTATATTCTTCAAATCTGTATCTACCGAGTATTCAGCAGTGAGGTATGTGTTAATGTGGGCAGTTTTATTTGCTAAGGATTCTGCAGCCAAAACTAACAGTTCAAAATCCCTCTCACCCCCAAATCACTTTTGGCTGATGGGCTATTCCATCTGTACAAATAGAGAACATTTTAAAGCTGAGTTTAGTGAAGCAAGCCAATCTAATCAGAATAATTGCAAGAAAATGAGACAGGTTTATTATATCACATGTTTATTCTATATAAGATCTTGTCTCAACAAAGAGACACAAATCTTCAATGTATAGGAATTTGTTTCCAAGTCAGTCATTTTCACTGAGCATTTGTAGTTTTGTGAAATCAGATCTGGGCATTTCATGCTGAAAACAGGGCCAAGAAAATTGCTACCTACATGTCTAAGCAACAGCTGTTTGCTTTGCTGTAGCACTGACGTTTCTCGTTTGCAAAACAGAATTTCTGGCAATGATCTCTGCCCTGCCTTTTGAGATGAATGGCAGCCTTCATAACAGTCTGGAATGAAATCGACTGTACCTGTTCATCTAGTTGTCACAAATGGAATCCTTAATAACATGTATGTGTGTGTTTTTGTGTGTGTGTGTGTGTGTGTGTGTATAAATACACATTTATTTATTTATTTATTTATTTATTTATTTATTTATTTATTTATTTATTTATTTATTTATTTATTTATTTATTTATTTATTTATTTATTTATTTATTTATTTATTCAAAATGTTCTCTATCCAGGGTGGTGAAGTATACACAGCGGTACCGCAGACAGACCCTTCAGAGTGTGCTAACTGCCGGAACTGTCGAAACAACAACAGGTAATGAACTGGAGGAGAGAGAATAGAATGAATACTGGGTTTTTGAGTTGTTTTTCTCCTTGGGTACTCACCACAACTGTACATTGTAGTGGCTTTTTGGTAAAGTTTTTATTTATCATGAACCCATAACATTGTAAATTTATTCATGCTAGGGCTGCATGATTTCTAGAAAGTTGGAGCTTCATATTTTAAGGATATTAACAAGCTAGAGCAGTGGTTCTTAACCTTGGGTAACCCAAGTGTTCTTGGACTGCAGTTCCCAGGAGCCTTCACCACCAGCTATGCTGGTTGGACCTTCTGGGATTTGCAGTCCGAAAACACCTGGGTTACCCAAGGTTGAGAACCACTGAGCTAGAGTATGTCCAGAAAAAAAAATTAAAAAAAACAAAGATGATAAATAGTCTAGAATCCAAGTCCTGTGAGGTACAGTTAAATTAGATGTGTATACTTACTGTAGAGATGTTTGATGTGGCATGATAGCCATCTTCAGATATTTGAAGAGCTGTCATATAAAAGATGGAGCAAGTTTGTTTTCTGCTGCTCTAGAAGTGGAGATATAAACCAATTACACAGAAGGAAGTTTCAGCTTCTTGATGGAAAGAGCTGTTCAGCAGTGGGAATGGATTACCTCAAAGGGTGAGGGACTCTCCTGGTTGATTGATTTTATTTTTTAGCAGAGGCTGCATGGGCATCTCTCAGGGATGCTCTAGCTGTGAATTTTTCCCAAAGGCAATTCAGCTAGATGACACTAGGGATGCTTTCCAGCTCTACAGGGTAGTCCTAGAGCCAGATATATTGACATTTATATCGCTCCTGACTAGGTATGAGAGAATCATTCTCCAGGGTTACCTTCATCCCAGATTTCTGGTAATCATTTTTGCACTGTGTTTCCAAAGTGTAAATCAAAGCATCCAAAAAATGGGTGAGGACTAGTTAGATAAGAGACACTGTCATGCTACAAATCTAGTTTAGTTTAGCATAAAGTGAAATGCTGTCATTATCATCCTTCTTCTTTAGTCTTCATCATCTTCTTTTGGTTATTCGTTCAGTCTTTGTCTCCTTGATGCAGCTATTTGAGCAACTTGACCCCTGCTTACAGTATTTATTTGCAGTATGATAGACTAATAGTTCAAATCTTTCATCTCATTTTCCTTGATTCCTGACTAATTAAGGTCCAGAATAGGGCAAAAAGCTTCCAGGTTTTATACAGCCAAAAGAGAACAAGTAAATGAAACATGGGCAGTTGTTTCTGTTTGTGTACTTAAAGTAGCAAAATTTAAATAGCTGATTAGGACCTGATGAAATTTGCATTGTTCATTCTGTTGTGATAGGAAAGTTATTTTGCTCTTGTAAAATGTGAAGTATGTTGCTGGCTATATTTAAAATATTAAGCATTTTTAATTATGGTTCTCCATCTGTGGATATAGAAAATCTGAATAATCTTTCATTTACTTAGAAAGCAATTGACCATAAGTAATGTTGATACCAAAGGATAATTTAAGCAAGAATTGTATGTTAATTAGTTTACAACAAGCCGATGCTGTTAGAAGGATAAATGTGTACACTCCTGAGATACACTATAGGAAAAGAAGATGATTATGAAAAATTCCAGGGAGGCTGCTGTTAGCATTAAGGTACAAGTATTATCTGATCACTCATTGTCAAGTGTTTTACAATTTGAGTCCTCTCCTCCTATACCATCAATAAAACTCATCCCTCCTGATACCCAGTTAATGAAGATACAGGATTATGATACCCACTTGCCTGGCTTTGTATCAGAGGGTGAGATTTGTGAAGAGTCCTGGCAAGTTGCACATGCACAAGCTTTGTCATCTGTGACTATGCCTTCCATCAGGCACACCAGCTATGCAGCTTACTTCAATGAATAAACACCTTTGTTCTACCACTCATACAGAATATTTTAAGAGAGTCATTATTACATTAGCCTTCAGTAGTGTGATTATCAGTTCTGATCATGCTCCCCATATTGATACCATTGAAAAGGCTCACCATGCACTTGTGTGGTCTACTACCCATCTCTTTCCCATGGGCAGTCCTGTTGCCCTCTGCATTGGTTCCACACTGATATTTATCTATATGGCATTGATCTGCCATTTGCTGCTATTCTACCTACCGCATAGCCCTACCAGGCATTGCAGCTATTGTGTCTGCTTCACTTGTTGCATCTCTCCAAACCTCCTCAACCGATATTGCTGAATCAATATTTTCCACACAAGAACTTCCACTGCCAGCATGCTCTTCAACATTTTTAGTAATGATTTGGATGAGGAGATGTATAGAATGCTTATCAAATTAATTGATGTCACAAAACCGGGTGGACTACTCTGGAAGATAGAAAATTTCAAAAAGATCTTGATAGGCTTGATCAATGGGCCAAACACAAACCAAATAACATTTAACAGGAATTTTTACACCTAGGAGAAAAAAGCTAAATGCTCAGTTACAAGATTGGGATGGTACTTGGCTCAGTAGATCATAAGCTGAATATGAGCCAACAATACAATGTGGCTGCAAAAAAGGCCAGTGCTATTTTAGGCAGCATTAACAGAAATCTAGTCTTGAAGTGTGAAATGCAACTAGACACGCCCCTCGTCCCCCAGTGAGGTGGATACTGAGTTTAACGACCTCAGAAGGATTGAAGGCTGAGTCAACCCTGAGGCAGCTACCTGAGCCCATCACAATTGAAACTCGGATCATGAGCAGCCTCTCGACTGCAGTACTGCAGCTTAAATGCCACAAGGCTTCTAACAATTCCTCCACTTGGTGGGGAAATTTCTCCTATCCTTATTCCATACCCTTGTTGTAAGATGTACAATATGAATATCAGAACAATAAATATAGTAACAAGAATAAGCCTCATGTTGTATAGCTGTTTTTAAAATTTGAATGTTTTTAAAGTAGTGAATGGAATAAGGCATCAAAAGAACAATATTTCTCTTATGTCATTTTCTCCTACTTTATGGGAGAAAGTTCACACACCGTGTAATTTCCTTTGTCTGTCCTAAGTAAATGTGAGGTAATTTCATTTTTCACTAGATGTATGTAAGGGTGGTGTAGTGGACAGAGTATTTATTTATTTATTCATTTAGTCCTAAGTAAATGTGAGGTAATTTCATTTTTCACTAGATGTATGTAAGGGTGGTGTAGTGGACAGAGTATTTATTTATTTATTTATTTATTTATTTATTTATTTATTTATTTATTTATTTATTTATTTATTTATTTATTTATTTATTTAATATCCCGCTTACCTGGTCAACTAAGGACCACTCTAGTAATGGACTAGGACTCAGGAAACCTGCACGTGGTTCCCTAGCTTTGCCATGGAAACTCACCTGGGGGTGGAAGCCATCCCTTAAATATCTCACTTACCTTGAAAGCCCCTTTAGGGTTGCTATAAGTTTGTGCTGACAGGCAGATGACGACAACAGCAATGTTTGACTATAAATAACGTAGTATGTGCTTCTCAACATTTATTATGAATGTTGAAAAAACAAGTTGCTAACTGCCTCATTGTCCTTGGAAGCTAATGCTCCAGCTGCAAACATTTATAGTGCTGGCAATTTCCCAACGCTTTGGATTAGTGCTGGGCATGTCTACAAAGGAGTTTAGCTGTAAGCTGCCTTTTTGTTGTTGAAAGGCTAAGTAAGCTTCAGCTATAAGGAATTGACTTCCTTCCGTGCTTGACTGGCCTTTCACAATCCAGAAGGAGAGTTGTTGAAGAGTCATTCTGGGAAGAGTCAGAATCCATGTTCTCACTTTCTAGGTTTACAATGGCAAAGAATCCAGTATTGAGTGTAACTGCTTTATCAGCAGCCCTTTAATGGGCCTCTTTACCACTTCAAAGACCAAACTAACACTGAAGCTCATTGGTTGATTTTCCAGAATTCGCACAATAGAAAATGTAAAATATAGTGCTTAACAGGAGATGGCTAAGAAAACCTATACAATGCACCGCTTGTACATTATCTTTTTTCTTGTTTTTTGTAGGTGTTTCACTAAGACCAGTGGCAGTTTTGGCAGCAACACTGTACCTGTGATGCCCATCTTAGCACCTTTTCAGCAAGATGGTTTAGAAATGAAACCATTGAATCATGTCATGGTCACCATGTGCTTGGCATCCACAGTCCCTGAATGCAGTGTTGAGACAGAAGAAGAATGCGAAGAGAAAGTGGAGCCCCCATCCCCTGAGGACTCATGTTGCCAAGAAAATGTGAATCCACTCAGTAAAGACTGTATAGAAGGTATGTCAGTATTTGAGAAAGGTGAAAAAAAATATATGAAGCTGGCATCCGGGTGATCACTGTTTACTTACAACCAGAACATACTGACTTGACTGCACAGAAACCAACATTAATCTTAGGTATCTTGTGGTTCTGTGTGTATATCTTGGAAGTTGTGTTTTGGTGCCTTTAGGGTGCTTTGCTAAATTGAGAAGTTTAAAAAAATGGATTTCATCCAATTCTCTGTAGATTATGTTGTGATGACTGATTTATTCTATTCAGTGTGCTAATTTATTTAAATGTCTGCCAGGACCACCACTGGCTGTGATCTTATATTTCAACAGCTCAGATTAATCAGGTTAGATACTTAGGCAGAAGAGCTGCAGGAACAGACTGGTGGAAGGGTGAGGAGGTTCAACAAATGTCACCCTTGCCTCTCAGCCAGTCAGGACTTGTATAAAGCTTTTTGGGATTTTGTTGGTTGTTTTGAATTGCGAAAGTAGTAGAAAACTGGATGGTGTTAACAGTTGTGTTTTGATTTGCAGATAACAGCACGCAATTGGAAACATCCAATCATGTGTTGAGTTGGAGCCCCCTCATTCTTCAGCCTCTTTCAAAAGGCTGTGAAGAAAAGACAGAAGGACTTTCGAATGGAATTACATTGGACAGTTTGAGGGGCCTACAACAGCTCCAAATACAAGAGACTTAAGGAAGTGATCAGCCTCCCTCTTGATCCCACTTAAAGCCAGTAACTGCATAGCAGAGTTGCTGAAAGGGACTGACAACAGGATATTAATTATAAGAATTGCTATTTATTTTTTTGCCGTGGTGTCATATGAATGTATGTTTTCAAAATCCTTAGACTTTTTAAATATTATTTATGCCTTGAGAAATTCTTACCCATCCTTCCCAAGGTGAAATCATCCTGACTATCTAAAGGTGTGTAGGAAATATATAAGGAATGTATCAGAGTGTCTTTCATGGACACTTATTGGAAAAATACAGTTGCAGTGTAGTGCACGCGTTTGCCTGTGGCTTATAATTTTCAGTTCCGAGAATAAAGTGGGATGGTCCAGTGGAAGATGAACTAGAACAGTTCTATCATTTTAACTATCATATTACTGAATATTCCTGAAATAACTATATTCTAAATTCTCAGCCACCTAAAATGAAATAGATGAGTTTGCAGCGGCACTATTTCAATCTTCATTTATTCAGATACCCAGCAGTTCTCAGTCCTTGGGGAAAACTGAACATAGCAGCTCTGCAGTTTGGCTTTCTTGGATGAAGGTAGAACTCAGGCTGAGAACTGCATAACATGCTGTTTCCATGGTGATGACTTGCACAAAATAGGCAATATTGCTGAAGGCATCACTGAGATATATAAATAGCTCTTAGCTTGCTAGAGTTGACTGTGGGCATTCTGTCCCAGTTCCTGTTGTTGCCACTTGAGACATTTCAGTGTGTCTCCTATAGCTATGGTTGATTTATACTTTTCTAATAATATAATGTAGAATGCTTCATACACAAAAAAAAACCACAGGAGAGTAATGGGAATTTTTTTAAAAAATATGATTTTGGATATAGCTTCTTTTCCAAAGAAAGAAACAAGGTATCCATTGTTGGGAATTAATAAATAGATAAACAGGTTCACACAGGCAAGCAGTGCTTATAGAGAGGAGCAAGAGAGGAGGCAAAAGAAACAATCATAGAAGAACTGAGTTAGAAGGAGCCTGTGAGGCCATCAAGTCCAACCCCCTGCTCAGTGCAGGAATCCAAATTAAAGCAGATCTGACAGATGGTAGCCCAATTTTATCTTGAATGCCTCCAGCATTGGAGTGCTCCTAAAATAATCGGATCCATTGCCATACTACTATAGCAGATTTTTCCTAAATATGACTTCTGGTAACTTGAGCCTGTTATTAAATGTCCTGCACTTTGGGATGATCAAGAACAGATCCTGCCTCTCCTCTATATGCCTAACTTTAAAGTATTTGAAAAGTGCTATCATATCACTCTTCTGTCTTCTTTTCTCAAGGCTAAACATGCCCAGTTCTTTCAGTTTTTCCTCATAGGGCTTTGGTTTCCAGTCCCCTGATCATCCTTGTTGCCCTCCTCTAAAGTGGTTCCAGTTTGTTGGCATCCTTCTTAAAGTGTGGAGTCCAGAACTGGGCACAGTACTCTAGATGAGGCCTAGAGTGCTGAATCGAAGAGGACTAGTACCTTACAGGGTTTGGAGACTATACTTCTGTTAATGCATCCTAAAATTGCATTTCCTCTTTTATTTTCCTTTGTTCTTTTTGTTTTGTTTAGGGTTGGGTTTTTTTGTTTGTTTGTTTTTTTCAGTCATGTCACACTATTGACTCATATTCAGCTTGTGATCTGCAACAATTCCAAGATCCTTCCCGCTCATAATATTACTTAGCAAAGTATCTGTGCATTTGTGCTTTATTCCCTAGGTGTGTAACTTTGCACTTACCCTTGTTAAATTTCATTCTGCTTTTTTTTAGCCCAGTGCTCAAGCCTATCAAGATCTTTTTAAATTTTATTCCTGTCTTCCAAGGTATTAGTTATTCCACCCAGTTTTATCTGATATCTGCAAATTTGCTAAGTATTCCCTGCACTACTTCTTCCAAGTCATTAATAAAAATGTTGAAAAGGACCAGGACTGAGCCATGTGGTACCACACTTGTTAACTCCTCCCAGTTTGAGAAGGAACCAGCCCTCTTGATGATTCTGTAACCTGACAGTTGTTCTATTTAGCCCACCCTTAGTTAGCTTGATAATCAGATAATTTCATAGGGCACTGATGTTCAGAGTAACAAACTTTTGTATCTGCACTATCACACAAAATGTGAGGCAGTCATCAGAAATAATTTTGGGAATGAGGTACACATATCAGCAGCAGGGATGTAATCTGTGGAAGAGATGATGTGAAAAGATCCTACGTACAAGTCAGACAGGCCGCAAAATCTCAGTTAAGGACAGAATTCTTATCTGCCCCCTTTTCAAATATACTGGAACATTACACAGTATATTTTGAGGCCTCTGATAAAATATGTTTTTTATTATTATGTTGTTGTTGTTCATTGATTCGATATGTTACCTTCAAAATTGGGTCCTTTGCCTTGAACCTTAGAGATTTTACTGTTATATTTTAATACCTTTATGAAACTTGTAAGACAGAGATAAAAGCAAGGCTGTCAAGGTAGTACTGTTGCAGAAGCGTTGACGCCGTTGCTGCGTTGCCTTTCCTTCAGAGATCTGTACCCAGTGCTCTTAACGTCTGGTGTCAGACGTACCACTGTGCTGTACAGTAGGTGTATTTCTAGATTTTAAGAAGTCTGCCTGTAGTCCGAAATAGCTGTGAGCACGATATTGGTGTCACTGAGGTAGCTGCATATTTCCTCTTTTCTCCCAGGTCTAAATAAAATGGTACTTGTTGTGAAAAACTTTTCCAAGGAAGCAAAGGCACACAACTTTCAAATTTACAATTGCCACACACCAATGTGAATTCATTTTGCTAACTAGCTTGAGCCACAAATCACACAAACACTGTTTGGAAGGAAGGTGGTGGAGATGGAAGAAAGGTCAAAGAAACCTTAATTGAAACTGAAGGCTTCGTACAAAAGAGAAGAGGCAAAGCCCCCATGTGTAGTGTGCCACACCGAGTAACTAACATACATGTGTATTTGTGTGTATGTCTGTGTGAGAGAGAAATAAAAACAGTTTTTGTATTTTTATACCTGTTGCAGCAGATGTCAAATGCTGTGTATGTATATAGTGTGTGATTATTTTATATAATATATGATACAATGTATATTATATAATTTTATAAATAAGGCTCCCTAATGAGAATTTACAGTGTTAATCTGGGTTGCTATGCAAGGACACCTTTTTCTACCACACAGTGTCAACAAAATTTGAGTCAGGACCTGAAATCCAGTAGTAAGTTGCAACTAGAGTAAGCCCATTGAATCAGTGAAATTTATGGAGGTGACTCACCAAATCTCCACTATTCTAGTTGTAACTTACTGCTGGATTTCACCACTGTATGCTTAGACCTACAGAAGGTCTCTTTTGTTTTCTCCTACATGTAACATTATTATGGCTTTACACTTCAAAGAAGTTAATTTTCATTAGCCCTAGAAAGGGAATCACGTTCCTGTCAACTAGTTTAATCAGCTGGTTGGGACATAAATAGATGCTTTTTCAGAAAGCAAGAATGTCAAAATACCCTTGATATAGGAGTTCAAGGGATTTGGCTTTATGGCAACTTCAGTTCAGGAGATCACAGCCTGGCAACTGGAGTTTTTAGATTTTCAACAGATAATTGCCTCTGTGGTGGTGGGAGAAGAGTCTAATCTGTCATTAGCAAGATCTCATCAAGGATTGCTTTATTTGTGTTGTCTGGCACTGTTATAAGTGTTTTCCCCTTTTAATGTATTTTATTTATAAAAGTTATATATTGTCTTCATATTTTATCTCCCCACCCTCACCCCACAACCAATCAGATATGTTAGAATCTTAGATGACATACACAGATGATCTGGCTTGTCAAGTTCAAGTGCTTATTGTGACTTAATCCAAGAAACTGTAGGAAAAATCTTGTTTTTGTTCATCCTGTTGGGACAATATTGTACCATTTCATATTCATTTGCCTTTTGTTGTTAAGATTCATTTAGCATAATAACTTTCTGGGTCTTTTTAAAGTATCTACAGCACTTTCATGAGACTTACGGCACATTGTCAAAAATCTGTAAAATACCAACCTATTAATGTTTATAGACAATTTTGGAAATGTAAAGGAAGAAGTCTTAGTTCACTATTTCATTCTCATAGCAACCAAATGTTACTAAATTTCTCTTAAAAGGATGTATTACATTTTTCTCAAGTTTAATATTCACTCAGAATATATTTGTGCAGCAGGTATTCTGTATCCTTCCCTAGTTATTTGGCATTTCATATGTGTTATGAAACAGAGATAAATGTGACATTCATAGCACATTGTTAAAACAGGAAAAGTATTGACCTGACATTTATTCAAAATAGTTTCAATGCTTTTTTGTTTACATTTGGATGTTTGACACATCAGAAGTGCTTTTGACAATTTAAGATGAGATGAACTGACACAGCTATTCAGTGGATACATAAGCTATTAATTTATGCTAGCATGTATGGTCTCACAGTTCTAAGTCACACATCTTTGCCTTAGACAGTTGCCTTATTGTTTTTAATCATGCTAAACAATTTGTAAATGTGTCTCATTGAAATCTCTGTGATGCGCAAAAGTGTGGTGTCAATACTAGTAGTCACTTGAACTTGAGCAAGTTTTTTTCTTGAACAGCTTTTTTGATTATACATGCCCTAGCTGTGTAACCATATAAAGTCTTATCTACTGAAGTCTCCTTCTTCAGTATTTGAAAAGTCACATGGCTAGATAAAGTATTGCTGTCTGAGCAATAAATGGTCATATTTTGTACTTTGTTGTTTTACAGATAAATGTTTTAAAGATGCATGTCTTTATATCATATAGAAAAATTACACTGTTTTCTTTAAAAGTTGTAATATTCTTTTTTAACTGTACATAGCTTTAAATGATGTAGTTTTTGGCAGGATTTCCTTATGTTTTTAATATTAAAGAGAATGCTGCTGCTTTTGTCTAAAGTGTGGTATAATGATTTCTGCTGCAGCCTTGTATTGTATTGTGTTGTAGTCTCCGGCGACTGACACCTGAGGTTTCCATAATTAATAACCCATGATCCAGTATGTAGCATTTTATGACTTCATTCTGCTTTGAGAGAGGAAGAAGGATAAACACATATCAACCAGTTCACTACACATATGTATCTCCATGTAATAAAATGGAATGAATAGTAGATACAGCCATTTTTAGGATATGTTCAGTACTGTTCTGGACTCACCTTCTATTACCATCTCTACACAAGAATTGGAGGTTCATGATTTTGTGTACCTTGGCTCAACAATCTGATACTCTCTAGAGTGTTGATCTGGATAAATGCTTTGGCAAAGCGGCTACTATGTTCTCTAGACTAACAAAGTATGGATAAACAAAAAGCTGATGACCTATACTAAGATCCAGGTCTATAGAGCCTGTGTACTGAGTACTCTCCTGTACTGCAGTGAGTCCTGGACCCTTTATGCACAGCTGGAGAGGAAGCTGAACACGTTCCATATGTGTTGTGTCTGACGCATTTTTGGCATCACCTGACAGGACAAAGTTCCAAATAGTGTCGTGGAACAAGCTGGAATTGTTAGCATGTATACATTACTGAAACAGTGACATCTATGTTGGCTTGGGCATGTCATGAGAATGGTTGACAATTGGATTCCAAAAGATCTCCTGTATGGAGAATTAGTGCAGGGAAATCACCCCAGAGGGAGACCACAGCTGCAATACAAGGATATCTGCAAGTGGGATCTGAAGGCCTTAGGAATGGACCTCAACAGATGGGAAACTCTGACACCTGAGCATTCAGCCTGGAGGCAGGAGGTGCATCATGGCCTCTCCCAATTTGAAAAGTCCCTTGTCCAGCAGGCCGAGACAAA